AAGAAAAAAATACTATTAGTTAATTTTTGTTATACCAATATGTATTGTATGAATTGTCATTTGGTCACTTGTTATATACAATTAATCTGAGTCGATACAATTAAATTTCAAATTTAAAAATTTAGAATATAATTTACTTACCAAAATCAAATATTTAAGTTCTTGATTCTTTAAAATATCTTGAAAAAAAACTAAAATCGTAGATAGACATTAAGAAATATCAAGGTAGAATTAGAAATAAATTTCATATAACTTGTGCAAAATACAAATGTCAAATTTAGGCAGAATTAATTGGAATAAAATTTCCGAAAATTTCTGTGATAATTAGTTTTGCTCTCCAATAGATAATTACACTATTTGCAAAGCAACAATTCTTTGTATTGTTACATATTCTAAATTAAGAACTTGAACTAATTGAGTACAAAATAATTTGAAGAAATTCAATTTACTGTAAAAAAGTGATTGCATTTAAATTTTTATGTAAATGTTAATTCACTTTTTATCACAATTTATTTTAATATTAGATGAGCTGATAACAGAGGTCAATTTTTATGATTTATATAACCTTGATATAGTCTTTTATAAAAAAATACTGATTGAAAATTTTAAATCAGATGAAGAACTAATATAACCTTTTTTCCTCAAAAATGTAGTAATTGTTTAATTTTCTTAAAAATAATATTTACGGAAATTCAATATAAAATTTTATTGTGAAAAATCCCAAGGAGATTAAAAAAACTTTATTAGAGTTTTTTAGTACAAAAAATACTATCTTTAACTAATAAAATACTTTTCGTGTATTTGAAATATCTTAATTAAAACCCAATATTGTGCTATAAATTGTACCAATAAAGAAAATTTTAAATAAAAAATTTTAATATTATATAAATATCTGCTGTTACTGATTTAATTATTATAAATTTTTCAATTAGTCAACACAGTTATGACAACAACAAGAAGAAAATCAAGAAGAAAATACTAATGTCTTTAACAACACTTTAAAGTTCAATTATTGATTCTTGTATAATGCTTAATTGATAATTTAGATTTAGTTTTTTGTGATCTATTTCATAGATTATTTCTTCTAATTCTTTGATTATTTTTAGCTCATCATCTAATTGTTCATTCGATTCTTTATTATTTTTATTTGAAGTGATTTTTTTAAAATTGCGTTCTTTATTCTAGTTTTAATAAAATATTTCACTTCCTGGACTGTATATTCTTTTGGTAACATTATTAAACCATTTTTTTCTTCTATTCCATCTTTTGGAAATAAAGGTGTTTCTAAATTAATTTTTGATAAATGAGCCACTTTTCTTAAATATTCTAATTGATTCATTAGACATATAAGTATTTCTAAATTGATTTTTAATAATGAGCCATCTTCTAATTGATCTATTTTACTAGAGATATTAGTGTTAGAATTTTGAAACATGATTAAATTTTATTCACATTTTATTTTTAAAAAAATTTATAATTGTATTGTTTTAGTGAATAAATTGTAAATAAATTGATATTAAATAAAATTTTATAAAATCAATTCAATGCCTTACGTATAATTTTATTAGAGATAAAATATATTAATATTAAAATTTTGATTAAAATATCGATTTAAAGACTTCAATTGTAATTTATATTATAAAAAATCTGCATTCATGAATATGCCTGATAAAGCACTTTTTATAATAAAAAAA